GATTGATCTTGGCAACATTTCTTCCGTTTTTCTCCTGAGCACCTCTTGCACTGTCCACATCGTATCCATCCAGACAGCTGGCATTCGGATGACCTTTTCTGTACTGCACAGCCAGCTCCATCAATTTAAAACAGTCACCACGCTGTGATTGCGTAGATGATAGCGCGACAGATTTCTTGGTGGTAAACAAAGCAACATGGAAGCGAGTGTTCTTTCTTTTATCATGCTTTTTACCGTCCTCAAAATGGTCGAAAAGCAGCGGGGGATCAACTCTTTGCTACTACTGAGACAACGTAGACGACGTGAATTTTTGGCCGAAATTGAAAGGAGTCGCATAAGTTACAGAAGGAGGAGAAGAGCCTTTGTTGCCTTCATTGTGGCTATTGCTAACGCTGCTACGCATCACGTAATTACCGGGCAGCTCTTGTGTCAGGCTTTCAAACTGCAAGCGATACGGAGCGGAGGCGATCACAACCCGCCTCCCATGGCGTGCTGGTGGACACAGATCGACACTGGCCACCAAAAATGCGTGTTTACCCGTGGTTTTGCAGTGGGAAAGGGGTATTAGATGAATGTGAAGCACACAAGTCGACAACAAGACAGCGATCGCAGTCATTATAGCCAAGGGATTTGCTTTGTGTTTGTGTGTCTTGTGGGCGGGGGCGGCAAGGGGCTTTGGGCCACTTATTCGAAAAAGCAGGACCTCACGACATAATGCTGCTCTGTTTTGCATTTGCATCTGCATTGTCATGTCATGGTCGAGGCGTTGGTTTAATGACAAACCAGGCGCACTTCAATAGTAACATTTGTTTTCTTTTCATTTGAGTTCATTGAGGTGTTTACTCGTGAAATTTGTTGAATGACTCGATGCACAGTTCAATACTTTCTCACTGAGTGACGCAAGAAGAAAGTGAAATTACATGTACTTACCGAGTCCCAGGCAAGACACCCGGAGTCCTGACTTTCCAAGGTTCCTGCAAAAACAGAAGAAAACGACTTAACTCGGCGCTACATCAAAACACATATGCCCTAACACTCTTTCAGTTGCGCCCAGTGCTGTTACGTTTTTGTGGGTCATCTTAGGGGTTCCATAAATATGGAGCCCACGTGAGCTTGAGAGGTGTGATGATGTTTGGAGGAATGACAGCAATGAAGCAAAGAAGACCAATAAGGAGATTTCCCTCTCGGTAGAAACATTTAGACAGTCATCAGCTCCCTCATTTGTAATCTGTCTCAAAAGGCTCTTGCAAACACTTGGAAGCACACACCACTGCCACTTAGCGTGTGCGCACACGCTCACCCGCGCACAGTGTGCAGCCATCCTGGCCAATCAAATATTGATGGAAATTTTAAACCCCTGTAATCATTTTTCCAAACAGATCTTCGCATAACAAGCCTTCCGTGTCAATGAAGCTATTCATCTTCGCCCAAGCACGTCTTCATTTGCTTGATGATCGACAGTAATAATGACTTTCTCGATATCCCTGCCATGATGGCAACATTGGCCTCTTGCTGCATGCGAAAAAGATTCTCTCCCTCTTGCTTTCTGATGCAACAGCTTCCGTGGTTGTGTCATTGGCTTTGCTCCTCAGCTTCAGAGCAAAATAACGTCGCATGACAGCTCCACTTAACACTAACTGTAATCGATAGAGCCACTGAGCCGATATGCACGTGTATGTGTTTATATTAGATGTCGCATGAAAGATAATAACACTCTTGTCTGGGCTTATTTGGAATCAATCACAGACTGAGTAGCGTTTTATTGTTGGTTTAGTTTTCACCAGAAATCTGGGATATTACATTTTTTTTTTCTATTCTTAATTCCTCGACAACACAACACTAAAGTAATTGAAATGTTATGAGAAATGACGTTGATGTGAAGTGCATTGTTTGTTACACAAATATAGGCCGGTGGTGGTCCAGTGGTTAGCAAGTTGCCCTCACAGTGCAGAGGTACCGGGTTCGATTCCAGCTCCGGCTTTCCTGTGTGGAGTTTGCATGTTCTGCCCCCGTGCCTGCGTGGGTTTTCTCCGGGTACCCTGATTTCCTCCCAAATTCCAAAAACATGCATGGCAGGCTAATGGAACACTCTAAATTGTCCCAAGGTGTGAGTGTGAGCATGGATGGTTGTTCGTCTCTGTGTGCCCTGCGATTGGCTGGCAACCAGTTCAGGGTGTCCCCCGCCTACTGCCAAAAGACAGCTGGGATAGGCTCCAGCACCCCCCGCGACCCTTGCGAGGATAAGCGTATTAGAAAATGGATGTTTGATAAGATGTGCCATAATACTTGGTTTTATGTGCCTATTTTCAGATCTCTAGATGTTCACTTCTCTATGTTTATAATGTGGATTTTTGTATGAAAGAGAGTTGGCAGTTACATCCACTATGATTCCATTAAAAAAATATATTAGTATTTTGTATTCGATATGATAGCGCTTGGATCCAGAGCAGGTCCCCTCCAGCTGCATGGCATCCAATTATCAAGACCCCTCAGATAACCTTCCGCTTCCTCCTTGCAGGGTCGTCGAACTGGCCCTGTAAACTCCTCCTTGAGCACCTGAGCGGCTCCGCAGCTCCTTGCCCTCGTGTCTCCCCAGCTCTGGATTTCCTTTCGGCTCAGTGTCTCCCTATGGTTTCATTATCGCCTTTGCTCAGCTCGACGGCCGTTTCCGCTGAGCTCAGCGTAGCCTTGCTGAAATAAAATGTCCTTTTTTTGACACACAAGGACACATAACTCTCAGTGGTCCACACTAGAGTTCACTAATCTGCTTCAAATATTACTTTTGTTCTGTCTTTGGATTCAGCATAAATCCAACGATGCTGAACTAGGACACACTCGCAAATCCTTCCTGATTTTCTTTTCATGATTTTTGCCCCTCACGTTTTCACTTGTACCAGCTTGCACTTCAACACATTTGTTTTCAATCAGACTTAAACTACAGCCGTGACCTTTTGTCCAGTGTTTCCCAGTGTTTCAATAAAACGATAGTTGGAAACAATTGCCGGTGTGTGTGATTACATTCCAGTTTAAAGGTTTCACTTCGGTGGTTTTTCAAATTCCGATCTTTGTTTCATTCCTTCTCAGCGGGAAGAGGAATTTGCAATTTGCAGGGATGTCTTCTGTGACCAAAGTACCGCTTGATTTGGAATAAAATATAATTGTGCTTTTTGACCACTTTCAGGAGAACACCTCAATGTAAATTCAAGGTTAGAAGAAAATGAATAGGAGGTTAGCGGAGCAGAACACACCGAGTGACTATAACATGGTGAAAATGTCATAAATCACTTTTGCGTTATGTAAAATTCCAAAGTAGAAGCACTGAGCCAACAGTCAATTTCAGGAGAACACCTCAAATGTAAATTCAAGGTTAGAGGAAAATGAATAGGAGGTTAGCGGAGCAGAACACAGCGAGTGACTATAACATTACGCGTTATTTAAAATTCCAAAGTAGAAGCACTGAGCCAACAGTCATAATTCTTGTAACAACTTAAACTCTAAATTACCATATAATTTAGAGTATGACGTTCTCACAAGTGACATTATCAGGGCATATTTGGTGAATTATTGTCGGGTCAACCCAGGCTAAAAAGTGATGGAAATTTTGCAGTTCAAAGACCACAAATTGCTCTTAACCTAAGAAAAAGCTTCTTTTCTTATTGCTCTCAGAGATGTTTATTTTTGCAGAGACTTCCGTTACTCAGCTGAAATCATATCCATCAATGTCATTTCTTCCTGTCACATAAATTATTAGAAAGTTATTTAGTTAATTCTGCCCAAAAGCCAGCCCCCTGTCAGAAACCTGAGCCATGTCAGCTAACTACCAACTAATCCAGATAATGTTTTATTTGATTTTTTTTTTTTTTTTTGTCTTTATATCGCCGAAAGCCATCTTCTGCAAGTAAGGCTAAATCCAGTACATTCGCTGGTGGATTTCGCAAGTTGTTGTCGTTTCAGTACAAAAGTTCCCATCGAAAAGTCATTTTTAAAAATAAATTCATTATTGCTATTTATGGACTTGTTTTCTGCTAGTAGATAAATACCGAGTGATGAAACGGTATTGGAGAGGGAAACTAATTAGCCATGCTTATATTGGTCATTTTTTTTCCTGACTATACATGATAACCATATGCAAAGAGTAAACATACTCGTTCGTGCCGATACTTTGTCACACGTGTTTGGCCTAATTTATCGGACTGCATGATGCATATTAAAATGCATATCAGGCATGAAGCAAGCCACGCTAGTTTATATATTATTAGCTTTTGTAGCAGCGAGCTCGCTTCAACTAAAGTATTGGGTTTCACAACAACGTGGCAAGCGTTTGACATTTAGCGGACACGCCACAGTGATCAAAACAAAAACGAATACATTCTTGGTGGCACCGCAAAAGACCCCTTAGTGATAAACACGCTGACCTTTTATTTCTATTATCCTTTCATTGGTTTCATCTGGTCCGAGGAGAAAAAAATGTACTTTCAGGAAAAAATATTTTAGGCTGCACCTCCTATAGTATCAATTACTGAATAAATCATCGTTCTGTGGCTGCTGAGGCTAAATCCCAGAGTGGACCCTCAGACTTAATTCTGAATAGAACATTTTGAACATTTCCAAGCCTTCACAGAAAAGTGGAACCTTATACTGTATCCGCAAAAGGGAGTCCAACCCCATATTTCCATATATCTTTCAAATCCCCTTGTAGTGAACACAAACAGCACGCACGGTATGCCGAGCTCCCAATATTTTTGACCATCTCATGTACAATTAGTCTTGACCTCTCACCAGGAGCCCTTTAAAAAAAATCCAACCAACGTTTTACTTTGGATGACCTAATCAAAATGAGGTCCGCTGCATGCAGTGAATGCAAACTGCTAATGAGTTCATATAGACTCTGACCACGCTAAGCTTCACCACTGCATTATTCACTACATCGCATACCAGCTCACTCAGCCGTGAGCTCACTGCAGTCGCCGTTATAATAGGATCGTACCACTGCAGCCTTTTAGATATGACCGTTTGAACTTATGTGCACTCGTCAGCCACGGTGTTAGGTACAGCTGCGCGATCTAATGAGATCCATTACTTAGAGTACAATCATCTGAGAAGCCAAGAGGAAAAATACATTGGATAAAACAGGCCGTCGTTTAAATGTATAAAGTCTATCACCAGATCGGAGAATCTCACCGTGTTTGGGTTCAGAACAGTCCAAAAGTGAACATCTACTTCCTCCCTTGGGTGCCTTGCAGGTGTTGATCTAATGTGCTCATTAGATTGTCAAATAATTAACATGAAAAAGGCCTTAATGAGGCCATGCAAGCACTTTAAAAATGTGCTCACAACTTAATGAAGAGCTGTTTTCATCGCACCATAAATAAATAATCGTGATCTCCGGCGACTTCTTTCTCTCCTTTGTCTTTCTACACCTTTGCTGATCTTTTATCCCAAAAGTCTGTCAACCCACATTGTCTCATTGTTGTGGGGCCAAAGATCAAGGCAGGAGAAAGGATGAAGCCAGGAAGGAGCTGTAATTGCAAGGAAGGCTAAGCGGGGGCTTGAAATAGGAAGGGAGTTCTTCAATAAAGCTACAATTAGCAACGTGTGAGAGTATGTTGTCAAGCAGATAGATGTATACCGGTACGCCCTCTTAATCACATGTTTTGTCCTCGGGAAAATTATTGGAGGCAGAGAAAAAATGTGGCAAGCAGACGGAGAAATAGAAAAATGCTCGAGCAGATCAGATTTCGGGTATTTAAAAATAGTTGAAATAGAATTCCTTATTATGTCAACAGTAATTCTATAGTGGGCGGAACCGGTGGTCCAGTGGTTAGCGCGTCGGCCTCACAGTGCAGAGGTACCGGGTTCAATTCCATTTACACCCTCCCTGTGTGGAGTTTGCATGTTCTCACTCTTCTTCTATTCACTGAACTCAGATGAATTCATTGAGTTAAACAAAAAAAAAAAAAAATCTCAATGTCAA